ATATGACTAGAACCTTTAGGATATGACTAGAACCTTTAGGATATGACTTGAACCTTTAGGATATGAATTGGAATTTTAGTTTATGAATTGGAATTTTAGGATATGAATTGGAATTTTAGTTTATGAATTGGAATTTTAGGATATGACTTGAACCTTTAGGATATGACTAGAACCTTTAGGATATGACTTGAACCTTTAGGATATGAATTGGAATTTTAGTTTATGAATTGGAATTTTAGGATATGACTTGAACCTTTAGGATATGACTTGAACCTTTAGGATATGACTTGAAATTTTAGGATATGAATTGGAATTTTAGTTTATGAATTGGAATTTTAGGATATGAATTGGAATTTTAGTTTATGAATTGGAATTTTAGGATATGACTTGAACCTTTAGGATATGACTAGAACCTTTAGGATATGACTTGAAATTTTAGGATATGAATTGGAATTTTAGTTTATGAATTGGAATTTTAGGATATGAATTGGAATTTTAGTTTATGAATTGGAATTTTAGGATATGACTTGAACCTTTAGGATATGACTAGAACCTTTAGGATATGACTTGAACCTTTAGGATATGAATTGGAATTTTAGTTTATGAATTGGAATTTTAGGATATGACTTGAAATTTTAGGATATGAATTGGAATTTTAGGATATGACTTGAACCTTTAGGATATGACTAGAACCTTTAGGATATGACTTGAACCTTTAGGATATGAATTGGAATTTTAGTTTATGAATTGGAATTTTACGATATGACTTGGAATTTTAGGATATGAATTGGAATTTTAGGATATGACTTGAACCTTTAGGATATGAATTGAAATTTTAGTTTATGAATTGGAATTTTAGGATATGAATTGGAATTTTAGTTTATGAATTGGAATTTTAGGATATGACTAGAACCTTTAGGATATGACTAGAACCTTTAGGATATGACTTGAACCTAGGATATGAATTGGAATTTTAGTTTATGAATTGGAATTTTAGGATATGACTTGAAATTTTAGGACATGAATTGGAATTTTAGGATATGACTTGAAATATTAGCATATGACTAGAACCTTTAGGATATGAATTGAACCTTTAGGATATGAATTGGAATTTTTGTTTATGAATTGGAATTTTAGATTATAAATTGAATTTTTTTGGATATGAGTTGAACCTTTAGGATATGAATTAAAATTTTGATTTATGTATTGGAATTTTAGATTGCGGGAGGATTTTGTAGAAGGGGTTGATGGTAATATTAGACATGCAATGGGACTTCCACCAAGAATAACTAAGACACAGTACCTGGTAGAGTGTGCCTTTAATTGTTCTTCTCATTAGCGACAACGATGATGAGAAGGCAAGAACATGTGTTTCAAATAGTTATGGCGTAGGTAGGAGTTTAACATTTCCTAAGTAGATAAAAGAAGAGGTAATAGAGGAATTCTATACTTCAATTTCCAAGAGGAAAAGGAGTTTAATTGGGAGTGACAAGGTTAATAGTGATGGAATGTTTTCCGTTGGTCATGGCAGTTCCCATAAAACGGGGATCATAAGACTCTATGATGACAGAGATCATAGGAAGTTTTGTTCTTAACTTTCTTCCAAGTCTGATCCGTACAAGCTTAGTGGGATATTGGTGATATATTCTTCGGATTCAGAAGAATATATCACCAATATCCCATTAAGCTTGTACGGATCAGACTTGGAAGAAAGTTGAGAACAAAACTTCCTATGATCTCTGTCATCATAGAGTCTTATGATCCCCGTTTTATGGGAACGGCCATGACCAACGGAAAACATTCCATCACCATCAACCTTGTCACTCCCAATTAAACTCCTTTTCTTCTTGGAAATTGAAGTATAGAATTCCTCTATTACCTCTTCTTTTATCTACTTAGGAAATGTTAAACTCCTACCTACGCCATAACTATTTGAAACACATGTTCTTGCCTTCTCATCATCGTTGTCGCTAACGAGAACAACAATTGATCAAAAGACACACCCTGTCAGCTACTGTATCAAAGTTATTCTCTGTATCCAAGTTCATCCCGAGTAATAGTACCATGAGGATAATCACCAAAGCCACCGGACAGCTTTATGATGCCAATGAAGCAAGATGAGCTATTCAATGAAACTCGTATTGTAAAGAAGAAGAAAGAGACTGATTCTGAAAGGTGGGTCGAGGGTCGAGCCTCGACTATACATGTAAGTTTTTTACTTATCATTAAGTATTTTTGTGACGACCCGACGCGTCGTCTCACGAGTTATTGCCCCGTTCTTCCCATTTTCTGCTTCCTCGTGTTTCATTATCGGTATTGGGTGCATTAGAATTTATTTGGAGCGATTTTGATAAGAAATGAGACATTTAGTCTCTTTTAAGAAGACTTAAGTTGGAAAAAGTCAACCGGACGTTGACTTATGAGTTAGAGGGCTCGGATGTGAATTCCGATGGTTCGGTTAGCTCCGAGAAGTGATTTGTGACTTAGGAGTGTGATCGGAAGTGATTTTGGAGGTCCGGTGTAGATTTAGG